GCCGACGTAGCCTCCAAGGTTCCCAACCACCCGCCGACCCTGCGGCCGGGCGGCGTCGGCGAGCGCCAGCGGTCGAGGCGGGCCCGAGCGCGCGCTCTAGCCGGGCCTTCGCAGCGAGGGTTCAGGAGCGCCCTCGCCCGGGCCTGCCAGCCCACCCGCTCCTGGACAGCGTGGCCGTCGCAGCCGAACACGGACGCCTCCATTTGTAGATGGCGTCGCCGGGCGTCGACTTGGCCCACGGCCCTTTCCAAAGAGAAGAGGAAGTTCTGGGACAACCACGGCAAGATGCTAGCACTGAGGGCGTCGTTCTGTGGCTGACTCATCGCCTGCCGGAGCCGCTCAGCACGCCGTTGGACGAGGGGCCCCCCGTTGCCCGAGTCCTCGAACTGCGCCACCCGAGCCCGGGCAGCGACAGACAGAAGCTCCTTCGGAAAATGGAAGACTTGCAAGGATTTCAGGAAGCTAGGCGAAATCCACGCCTTGGGCCCTGGGAGCAGGGCCTCGCACACCTTGGCCTCCATGTCCGCGAAAGAGGAGGGGGGCGGGTCGAGCTGGGAGATGAGCGACAAGACTGGGGCGCTGAAGATCGAGTAAGCATCCAGCGTGCTCAGCATGCCCAGGCCCGCCTGGCCCCAGAGCTTCGCCCGAGCCAAGAACTTGTCGAACGGGGCGCGCCAAGTTAGCTCTCCACGGCCCGGGCCAACCACAAAGCCGAGGTACTTCGCTTTCGAGCTGATGTCCAAGCACCCCCACGCGGGAACCACGCGATGCAAGCGTTCCCGGACGACGTTGATGTCGAACGGGGCCAGCGGCGCAAGATCCGTCTTACTAACATTCAGAAGTAAACCCGATATCCGCCCGTACTCGCTGAACGTAGCCTCCAAAAAAGAAAAATGTTTCCAAATGTCCGTGTGTACAAGCGCCGTGTCGTCCGCATATGCTCTGAGCGCGCCCCCTGGGACCCTTCGCAATAAAGTGCACAGTAATAAATTAGAAGCCACTGCAAAGAGAAGCGGAGACAGCGGGCAGCCCTGCCGGATGCCCCTAGTGATGTCGAAGCCCTGGTGCCGAACGCCCCCCATAACAATGGCGCAGCGGTTCTGCGTGCACAAGACCGCGATGAAGTTGAGCAGCCACGGCGGCCAAGCGAGCTTCTTGAAGACCCTGTCCATGAACGCGTGCTCGATGGAGGGGAAGGGGAATGCTGCCGCGAAGTCGACAAACATGGCCGCGGCGTCCTCGGAAGCACAAACGCTCAATGCAATAGCTTCGTCGACGTCGACCAGATTGGCAGGGAGGGAGCGGCCGCCAATGAACCCCCGCTGAAACTTGGACACCCCGGAGCTGATGTGCTTCTCGATTGCCATGCGGATGGCATTCGCGAGCAGGCGGTTGCCCGTGTTCGTGACGTTCAGCGGGCGGACGTTCGCTGGCTCATAGATGCCCTCGCCGGTGGGGCAGGTGCCCGACGCCTTCTTTGGGAGGAAACAAAGGAGGCTGAAATTGAAATCCTGGTAGTCCGACGCCATGAGTGCGGCGCCCTGGTCGCTGCAGAAAACTTTAGCAGCATCGTGGAGGATCTCCGCGGAGAGGCCCGGCGCGCACGACCAGGCACGAAAAGGGATCCCGTCGGGGCCCGGGGCGGTGTTCTTGGCGCTCATAACGGCGTAGCGTATGCGCCTCTTCTTTAGCCTGAAGGCCTCGCGGGGGAAAGGCTGCGACTCGCTGGCCGGTCTGCTGTCCTGGTCGTCCTCCAGCCGCTTGTCCAGCAGTGCTTCGTCGATGCCCTTGGCCTTGAAGATGTTGGACCAATGCGAGCGGAGGGCGGCGGCCATCCTGTCGGAGGGAACCTGTATATCCCGGCTCGCGTCCTGAATGGCGCCAATGCGACAAGAACGACCTGGGGTAATCCTGTAAATGAGCCTCGTATTCCTCTGTGTGGCTTGCGTGGCCCGCCGGGTGTTCCCGGAGAGCAAGTCTCTGTGGGACTTCCCAAGCTCATCGAGGGCATGTTCACGAGCCAATTGAACGACATGGCCCCTGGCGTGACGGAGGTGGCAAGAGTTGTTCCAGTCGAGGGCGCGGGGGTTGCTACCGATGTCCTTGAGGAGCGGGCGCCGCGGCAGGCAATCCGAGATGTTGTTCACGAAGCCGTTCTCCACCGCGCGCAGAAATCCCACCAGCCCTTTGGGCGTGAGTGGTTTAGAGAGCCCGCTCTGTTCTCAACCCCCATCTTCCCCTTCGGGGAAGGGTTTACCCCTCTCTCCCTACCCCCTCCCCCTGGGCCTGGAGAGGTCCCTCCGCGGGTCGTTGGGGGGGTCATTTTCGACTCCTGGGAGGGCTAAAAAACGACACCCCTCGCGAGGATTCTGGCCCCGACGGGGGGGGGGCAGAAAAAAACCCTCTCCTCTTCTTTGAAGCCAAAATCATTGATTTTACTGCGGTTTTGGCCCGCTTTTGGCCTTCTGAAGGGGCAGCGCTAATTGAAGCCCCCCTTTTCTTTCCATGTAAAATCTATGATTTTACGAAGGTTTTCGGCTCATTTTGCCCTTCTGAGGGGGCAGCGCTAATTAAAGCCCCCCCCCCTCTTCTTTGATCGATTCCCTCCAAGATGGCCCCAAGAAGCGCCCGGGAGGCACCGAGAGGCCCTGGCCCCAAGAGACCCCCAGGAGGCCCCTGAGAGGCCGCCAAGAGGCCCCCAAGATGCCCCCAAGAGGCCCCCAAGAGGCCCCAAGAGGCTCCCCCCAGGCACCCAAGACGCTCCTGGAAGCCCCCGGGGCCGCCACCCCAAGACGCCCCAAACGGCCTCCAAGAGGCTCCCAAGAGGCCCGAAGAGGCCCCCCCAAGGCACCCAAGACGCTCCTACAAGCCCCCGGGGCCGCCAAGAGGCCCCCCAGACGCCCCAAAAGGGGACGAGGTGCCCGAACGCCTCGCGCCACGAGGAGCCCGAACGACTCACGCCAAGACGAGGGGCCCGAACGACTCACACCACGAAGAGCCCGAACGACTCACACCAGAAGGAGGGGCCCGAACGACTCACACCAGAACGAGGCGCCCGAACGACTCACACCACGAGGAGCCCGAACGACTCACACCACGACGAGGGCCCCGAACGACTCACACCACGGAGCCCGAACGAGCCACACCAGGAGGAGGGGCCCGAACGACTCACACCAGGACGAGGGGCCCGAACAACTCGCACCACGAGAAGCCCGAACGACTCACACCAGGACGAAGAGCCCCAACGACTCACACCACGAAGAGCCCGAACGACTCACACCAGGAAGAAGGGCCCGAACGACTCGCACCAGGACGAGAAACTCCAAACGACTCAAACCACGAGGACCACTTTATCCCCCTCCTCCTCCGCCTCGCCCTTCCCCCGCCCCCCCCCGCAAGGAGGATGTGCAAGGAGGCGGGGGGAAGGAGTAACAGGGGAGATATGCGGGGCCAAGCGGACACGCGCCTGGAAAACACGACTGCCGGCATGCTTCGCAAGAGTTGCTGTTGTGAGATGGGCTGGTGGGGATGCGCGAAGCGTGAAGAATTTAATGGTGACGCCGATCCTGTCCTCGAAACTGGACGCGGGCTCCGGTGTCTGAAACTCCTTATCGATATTGGCCGCGACGGTTTTCATGCAGCGTTTGTAGTGCTGCAGCTTGCTGAGGGCGTTGGGGTTGGAGAGGTGCTTGACGGACTCGCGGTGCTCCAGCGCCAGGCGACGCGGAGAGTCAGGGTGCGAAATGGCCCGCGACGATAATCCTTTCTCCTCCCATGGCAATTTCTGCGGACCGCATCGGGGAAATGAAACTGCCCGGCGATGTGAAAAGATCCCGCTGCCACTCCAGAGCCGAGGAACGGAGATGACGATCAAGCTGTTCGGCGACGTGTCGATTGCAATACATCCAGTCGAGACGAGCCCGTGAGCTGCAGGAGGCGTGCGTGCACTCGCCCTGGTACATGTCGACTAAGCCGAACTTCGCTCCGAGGACCTCCTGAAAATGCTTCTCTTCCCCCTGGCCCTTGCGACCCGTAACCTGCGCCGACGTCAGGGGAACCTGGTCAACCTCGGAGACCGCGCAATTGAAGTCCCCGCCGAAGAAGGAGAGCGCGTCGTCCTGCTTCGAAAGCAAGGCGATCCGGGAGCGAAGGAGGCGACGAAGTTCAGGGAAGGAAGTCATGGAGGGCATCAAATACTCCGGGACGCCGCGCAGATCGCACTCTGAGAGCGTGCTCGACGAGCCCTGGAAGTATCCCACCACCACGCCCAGCGCGCCGGAGGGGCCGCGGAGGCGGAGAACAGCCGCGCGGCCGCGCCAGATGTGGACGAATTCAGGGTTCGGCTCGAACTGCTGGAGGAAAGCGTCCTCGATGATGAGGCCGACTCCCGCGTGTCCTGGCGTCGGGCCCTGTGACCGCCAGGCTGTGGTGTTCGGCGGCCTGTGCCGCGTTGAGTTGGAGATATCCGAGCCGTGGGCCTCCGTGATCATGACAATGTCCGCCTTGCGCATCAGTTTGTGCACATATGCGCTCTTAGCGGCGTGCCGGTAAGGGTCCGCCGCGAAGAGGGCCTGCGCGTTCCACGTGATCGCCGAGAGATCGCCTGTGAATTGGCCCGTCCGGCGACCGGCTGAGGAGGGATGCGCCTCCGGCAGAGCTCGGGCCAGCGGCGGGAGGATCGTGTCGGGGCTGATGGCGCCGAGAGCTCGCAGGAGCCGTTGGCGTCGAATAGTACAGGCGGGGACGTCCATGGCGAACCCGTTCACAGAGGTGGCCAAATCGCACTCGTGGATGGTCAGCGGCGGAAGGAGAGGCAGCAAGCGGTCGTTGTTAATTGCGGCCCTGCGGGAAGGGGAGCGAGAACGAGACGCCGAAAAAGAAGACGACGGGGAACGGCCCGAAGGCGGCGCCGGCAAGTGGCCCAAGCGACTCGGCGAAGCAGAAGCGTCGCGGAGGCGAAAGACGACCCGCATGGCGTAGCCCGATAAGCCCGTGCAATCAGTGAAACGAACTCCGAAGTCGCAGCCGGGCTGCGACGGATGTCCAGGGTGATCCGGGGCACGGCGGACACCTTGTTCCGCGCCCGCGTGCCGTTTCCCCTCCCGCGCGCGGTCAACATGAGGTCGTTCTTCACCTCGATGCCGACGAGGCCCCTGCCCACCCGGATGGCTTGGCCGTGGAGTGCCGCATAGAGTTTGCGAAGGTCCTCCTGGCTCTTGGCAAGAACCTTGATCACGCCAGCGGGCGCGCGTGGCCCCCGTGAGGCCAGGTGATAGCACTCTCCCGGCTGGGGCGCGTCTGGGTTGGAGGCCTCGGTGAACTGCGCGCCCGTCGCCGTGCAGACGTGGTCTATCAAGAGCTTAAGCGCGACCGAATCGCCCTGGCCCAACTCGCCCTTCGCGACGATCTCGGCGATGTGTTCGGAGAGGTGGGCGGCCTTGTTGCCGCGGCGTTTGTCCGCATTGACCAGAGCCGCCGTCGTTGACGGGGCGGCGACCCGCGACCTCCATTGCGCGAAGCCTTCCACTTGAGTCTGGTATCCGCGCTCATCTTGTCAGCCAGGCACACCTTGCCATGACCTCTGTCCACGCGTCGGCGGAGGCCGCCGTGGCGACCAGGTAGCGCTTGGAGTCGAGGGCGAGCATCTGCGAGCAGAGCGGCCAGAAGTGATGCGCTGAGCCGCTGCCGTTGCACTCCAAGATCATCGGGCCAGAGTCGCTCATGAGGGAGTGGCTGCCATAGAAAATGTCGTTGTGCGGGAGGCACCGGCGGAGGCTCTGCAGGAGCATCGCCTGGTCCAAAGTTGTGGCCGCGCGAGGGAAGATGACATCAATGACGACTCTCGGTGAAAAACTCGAGCTGATGGGGCTCCGACGGCGATGGCGGAAACATGCGTCACGCAAGCCGCCCGTGCGAGCTAGCGCGAGGAACTGCGGGAGATGGTCCGCGTGCATGTCGAACGCGAAGGCGTCGTAGTCGCCGACCGTCAATATGGCGCCAGGGCTGATCATCTTAGGGATGCTCCTGGGCATCACGTGCGACAGCGTAAAGATTGCAATGCCCTTGGGCTCGTGCCGGGGGGCGCTGACGGCGTTGGACGCGATCATCTCGAATGGGAAGGCTGCAAAAGAAAACCCCCGAACGATAGGCATCCACCGCTCGGACAAGAAAGGCGGGAAGCTCCAGAGATCCGCGATGTTGCCGACCGAGTGCGTGCCCTTCTCGCAAGGAAAAATTGCAAGAACCTGTAGCGAAGCTGGCCGTTGGTCCTCCGGGGCCCGGCGCATAAAAGAAGCGAGGCAGCGAGAAAGCGCACTCGGGTCCTTGGGGGCCCACATGCAGACTTGCTTACCGTTCACGAGGTCCCACATGCGGTCGCCCCGGTTCTCGGGGATCGAAGCGAAGGCGCGGGCGAGCGGCAGCGTCGTCTCTGGGGCAGGGGTGGCCTGCAAGAGGTTAGACCAATGCGTGAGCATGATTACCTCCGGCAAAATCGAGTTCTCCCTGACCAGGTCCAGCGCGCCCTTGCCCAGCCCCTTCCAGTTCGGGAGCTTCGCGGGCTTTAGGCGGCGGCGCTCGGTAAGTACAGCGGGCGGCTCCTTCTCGCAGTCGGCGGCCGCCTGAGAGACCTTGCGAAGCGCTTCTTGTGCCTGCTGCCGGTCAGCGCCATTCCAGTCCACGTGCATGGCAAGAGAAAGGACCTCGCGCGCAGCCCGCTCGCGAGCCGCCAAGCCGATCGCAGTGGGGCCGGGGCCGTCGAGTTTTGCAAAACCTAAGACCTCCCAGGGGTCATCGGCGTCGAAGTGCTAGCCCAGGCGCTTCAGGGTGAGGAGCAGGTCGTCCGAGCAGTCCGGGTACTTGAACGGCGAGGTAGCCATGGCCGGGTCCGCATCGACGTTCGCCTGAACCAGCTCGAAGTGCTGGAGGATCTCGCGTTCGAACCACTCCTTCAGCAACTTCCCGAGAACCTCGGTAGCGCGGCTCCGAAAAGGCGGCGGGGCGGGCGCGGCAGACCCAGCTCCCGGAGCCGGAAGCCCGTCGCCCTCGTCAACCTCGATGGCGTCCAGCTCGGCCATCGTCTGGGCCACCTGGGGGTCCGCGACTGCGCCAACCTGCAAGGCCGCCAAGCCCTGAGTGGCGCCAGTGTCACTGGCGTCGGCGCCCATGCTGTCGCGATCCGCAATGGCGGCGAAGGGGCCAGCAGCAGCTGCCATGGGGTGCCTAGGTGTAGGTCGGGTCCGAAGAACGGTCGGGGTCAGCCGAATCAAAAACTGTACAGGTTTAACATTGCCTTGACTGTCTTGACTTGAGCCATTTTTCCCTTCGTATCCATATGTATTATTATGTGTTCTCGTCGTCGTCTCAATGTGATTCGTCGTGTTCGTCTTTTTCGCGTCAACAATAATAGGAGCATTCGTCCGCAAATTATTCTCAATCCTAGTCGTCGTAGTAGTGTTGTTCGTGGCATTCGCATGGGTAGTTGTCGCATGAGTATTAGCCGTCGTTCTTCTTCTTATCATTAGTAACAGTATTCGTATTAAGTTTACTTGTGTTGTAATCAACCGACGTAGTAAGGACGCGCGGCAAGGATGCAAGGGCCTTGGGAGGCCACGTCGACACCGTGCGAGCGGGACGCGGCCAGCGCAAGTGGCCAAGGATGGACAGGGGAGTCAAGCATGCGAGGGTGCGTTTGGGAATGTTGCCCATCCTTACGATGCGGGTGTACTGCATTATTCTGCTAAGTAGCACCACGCTGACTGGAATTATCCTTTTTCTTCTTGCTACTATTTAGGTAGTAATATGAATAGGCATGGCATGCGTACTCCTAGTATTCCTCCTCCTCCTCCGCCTCCTCCTCCTCCTCCTCCTCCTCCTCTTCCTCCTCCTCCTCCTCCTACTACTCCTCCTACTCTTACTCCTCCTCCTCCTCCTCCCCTCCTCCTCCCTCTTTATCCTCCTCCGCGCCCCCCCCGTCCCGTCCGTCCGTCCGTCCCTCCTCCTCCTCCAACGCCTCCTCCTCCTCCTCCTCCTCCTCCTCCTCCTCCTCCTCCTCTTCCTCCTCCCCCCCATCCTCCCCCTCCTCCCCCTCTTCCTCCTCCTCCTCCTCCTCCGCCTCCTCCTCCTTCTCATCTTCCTCCTCTTCCTCCTAGTCATTCCGTCTCCTCCTCCTCCTCCTCGTCGTCCTCGCCCCCCCCCCCCTCCTCTTCCGCCTTCTCCTCCTCCTGCTCCGCTTCCTCCTCCTCCGTCTCCTCCTCGCCCTCGCCCTCGTCCTCGCCCTCCTCCACCTTCTCCTCCTCCCCCAGCATCCTCGTATTAGTCTTGGTAGAAGTAATGAATAGGATAAGTCCTGGTGCTAGTATTCATGTTATCCCTCCTCCTCCTGCCCCTCCTCCTCCTCCTCCTCCCCCCCTTCCCCCCCTCCTATTCCTCCTCCTTCTCTCCTCCTCGGCCTCGTCCTCCTCCTCCTCCTCCTCTTCTTCCTCCCCCCCGTCCTCGTCCTCGTCCTCCGCCTCGCCCCCCTCCTCTCCTCCTCCTCCCCTCCTCCTCCTCTCTTCTCCTCCTCCTCCTCCATCCTGTTCCTCCTCAGCCATTCTGCGCCGAGCCGCCTTTGCGCCTGCAGAGAGGCGGGGCGGTGTGGGAGAGCGCCAACTTCAGAGTGGCACTGCGCTCTCGAGCCTTTTCATGGCCCCAAGCTCCAAGTCGCGGGATGGAGGCTGGGCTTGCAGCGGATGCAAAGCTCGGAATGGGGACAACTACGATATTTCTGCTGGAAGTGCTGGAAGGTTCGCGACTCCGCGAAGACGGCGAACCACGGCGCGGCCAGCTCCCAGGACGACGCAGAGGCCGAGGACGCCACCAAAGCAAAGCTCAATAAGTCACGGGCACACCTGACGGCAGGCGGAGGACCCAGACTTGGCCAAGCACGCCCAGGGGAACATCGACGTCGTGCAGAAAGAAGTTGATGACTTGCAGGCAGCTGTCGACAGCGGCAACGACATCCCACGTTGCTTCTCGGAGCGCAAGTTGGTCCGAGAGAGGAACAAAACGCAGGCGCAGCGTGAGCGCACACAGGAGCGGGCTGAGAAGCTGGAGCAGGAGATCAAGGAGGCCCAGGAGAAGCTTGACAGGGAGAAAGCCCTCTTGGCCAGACAAGATGAGAAATTGCAAAAGCAGAGTGCCCGCATCGAAGAGCTCAGCGTGCCCGAGCCGGGCAAGGGCTGGAGAGCGGCCGCGTCGTTCCTGGAGCAAGCCAAGAAGTGCCTGCGCGACCAGGAGACGGACACCAAGATCGCCGCAGCCCTCCGTCACGCGCAGCAGCAGCACACCGCAGAGGAGGAGCGAGCTGCAGCGGCCGCAGCAGCAGCAGCCGCCAAGGCCAAGAAGGAGGCCGACGCCGCAGCGCGGGAGGCCGCCCACGACAAGCAGCAGAGGAACAAGCGCAGAGCCGAGGAGGAGATCAAGCAGGAGCTGGTCTCCTCCCCGCAGAACGCCGACGCGACGCAGATCACAAATATCACGCAGGATGCGGGCTGCACAGCCGAGCAGATCGAGCGCCACCAGCCTCACCTTCTGCCTCTGCTTGCTGGCATGCAGCCTGACACCGCGCTCACTATCAGCAAGAGCATGTGGACGGACCCGCCTTCTTCCTGACGAACAGCAGGGGCAAGGGTTCTTCACCATCAATGCGAACTCCATCGGCACGCTGGAGCGGACCATGCGCCCCATCAGGTACACGCACAAGGATCCCATCATCATGGCGCAGGAGCTGCAGGCAAACGAGCACAGCATCTCCTGCTTCACGCAGCGCATGCAGAAGGAGGGCTGGAGGCTGGGCATTGCGCCGAGCGTCCGCACCGCACCGGGGGGCTGGAGCGCAGGGGTGCTCCTGGCGACTGTGCGGCCAAACAACATGAGCTACGCCAGGGGGCTCGACACGTGGGACATCTCGCCCCGCGAGTCCAAGGGCCGCCTCGCGATTGGCTGGGTCCGCGCCCGCGGCAAGGACCTCGGCAAGGAGGGCACCACCATAGGCGCGGCCCACATCTGGGTCGGCGAGGGCATGACGGACCGCAACAGGGCCATCCTACGGAACTTCACTACGGCCGCGGCAGCGGCAGAGAAGTATTGGATCCTGGGCGGCGACTTCAACATGGACCCAGCAGAGCTCCAGCACACAGGGGTGGTCAAAAGGATGGACGGGGTCATCGTGTTCGACACCTCGCGCGGCTCGTGCGTCACTTCGGGCGAGGCACGGCACCGCGACTACTTCATCATGTCCAAGACGCCCCTGGACGGCCCGCTCCACGTGGCCGTGCAGGATCAGCACAACACGCGCCGCACTCACCTGTGCTCCTGCGAGTGCCTCGCCCACGGGAAGAGGCACGCTGGGTGCGGGTACTACGGCGCCAACGGCGATGGCCACTGCAGCTGCCCACAGACTGCGTGGCGGGGCCGACTTCGTGGCCACGACTCCTGGAGCACCGCAGGCATACTCAGGACGATGTGGACAGCTACTGGGGCAACCTGGCCAACCCGTACGAGGAGCACCTGAACAAGTACTTCAACTACGTCGGTCTGGACTGGCACGAGCACAAGGGCCACCTGCAGCTGCCCACCTACGCGTGGGAGCAGCTCAAGCCGCCCACGGTGCACGAGGCCGCGCGAGAGCAGCAGTGGGCGGAGGCAGCTGAGTGGCTGGGCCGACGCTTGGAACACGTCAGCACAGCAGTGCGAGCGCGGTGGAAGAACGGGAAGCAAGAGACGTTGGTCTGGGCTCAGAACAACGCCAAGGGCATCCTAGGGAAGGACATCATCGGGCCGCTCCTCGAGCGGAACCACCCAGCATGGCGCGCCGAGCCCGACCAGGAGCGGGACAACGGCGACGCCACGGACGAGCAGGAGAACACAGACAACCTGGACGAGTTAAACTACACACTGCGCCGAGTCGAGGAGGACATGACGAGCCTCCCAGAGAGTACTCCTCGGCGGACCCCCGCTGTCCTCGGCCCCACGGCTTCGCAGGACTGCCCGCTGGTCGGGGCGGAAGCGGCAGGAGAGCGCCGCCGACCGACGGGGCGGGGGCGATACACGGACACCGATTGTGGCAAGTTGGTGAACACAGTCGCCTGGATCGACGCCGAGCACATCACCGAGAGGGGCTTGCACTACGTGGACTGCGTGGCCAAGCTCATGACAGTTGCTAGCCAGCGCACATGGCGGCGAGCACGACAGGAAGTGGCTCGAAACTGGCGACGCTGGGTGACCAAGCACAGCCAGGCGGGGGCGGGAGCGCTGCACAAGTGGACTAAGCCGCCTGTGCCGTGGGCCCCGATCCAGCCGACAGAGTCCCGCGCCCAGCAGGAGCTCACGCACCCGCAGGTGGCAGCGGACACGGCGCTGGAGGGCTGGGAGACGGTCTGGGCGGACAGCTACAACGCCGACGAGCCGTGGTGCCAGGCCCCCAGCAACGACGAGTGGAGCGAGCACAGAGCCCCGCGGATCACCCCGAGGGACGGCATCGAGGCTTGCGGGCTGTTCCGAGCTGGGACAGGCCTGGGAGAAGCAGACTGGCACCCGCGTCTCTGGAGACATGGCGGATTCTCAGGTACGGCACGCGTGGCAAGCGTGCTCAATGCGGTGGAGCGAGGAGCGCCGTGGCCCACGTCGCAGGCCACCATCCTCTTCT